TACATGAACCGGCTAGATCCCGGACTCGAACCCCCAATCTGTTACAGAGGAGATGGTTAAATGAAGTGAACTCCCTGATACTCACTTTATAAGCAACAAGTAACAATTTAGTTATCTAACTCTAACAGTGAACAGATTAACAGAACTACCAACAAACTGAACAATTCCCCCCCTCAACTGCTAACTATTTCCGAATAAAACAAAATTCTAATGGTGTGCTGTTCCAATAAATACGAGTCTCACTTATATAAACCAAAGTAATAAGTAAAAGATAAATTAAAACTTAGACTCATGAAATTACAGCCAAGGTAAGTCTTCCAGAATGTTCTTTGCCTTCTCTGCTGTGCTCCAATGAGGAACACCTTCCTTCGGCAACTTCTTGTCTCAGGAATATTAGCTAAAAGTGCTGTGCTACCTTTTATTAAGACGGTGTTTACTCTGACATTGTAGAGATTTCTGTGAGAGCCAGTGATTTTCTCTTTCTTTAGAGCTGATGGCTGTTGAGAGCTGTTCTCTTAACAGATGGCAGTTTCCTTCACAACAATTTTCAAATGCCCTCTTCTTTTATACCCTTGATGACCTATCAATTTCTTACAACAGGACTGGTCCTAGGTTGTCAGTACCATCAGATTTAAATTTAATTGGGTTTTGGTATGTAGGCCCTGGTTTAAATTAATTGGCTAAATTCAAAAACCTGTTGTTTTTGTTAAAAGAAAATGTGGCTTTACCTGCTAACAGTATAGCCTTCTGATACAATGTTTCAATTTCAAGAGCTCTCTGTGTATCTGCTGCTGCCTACAGACTTTTTTTAAAATCTCCAAGCCTAAGAAACACATCTTTTAAAGGGACCACACACTCTTCACCTCTTATCATTTTACAAACAAATTCTAATGTCCTGCCTTGCAATCCACAAATACTATACTAACTTTGCAACATAACCTATGCCCTAACAGGGTCACTCCTAATATTGAAATAGTGCTCCCTAGTTCTGGACTGGCCCACAAGGGGAAATATCTTTCCATATCTAGCTTATCAAGACTATTTAGGATCTTATACACTTCAATCAAGTTACTTTATCTGAACAAATCTATGCTGTTTAACCTATTCTCGTTAGACGAACCTACTCATTCCTGGTGTCAATCTAATAAAGCTCTTCTGAACGCCAACTGGTATATTCACATTCTTCCTTAAATAAAGAGTCCAAAACTGCGCACAGTATTTGAGATGTGGTCTCACCAATTTCCTGTATAATCGATTCCATTTGATGTTATTATTGAACAATTCAGATTCCAGCCTAAAACCTGCCTTTGTTTTTATCAATGTGGTTCTCATTGAAACATAAGCATGCAACGTTCCAAATTTTATTTTAACAATAAAGCAGAAGTTTATTAATCACAAGAAATGAAGGTACAATAGAATGAGTTGTGGTACATGCTTGAAACACAAATTCAAAGAGGTTTAAAAGTATACTCCCATTAATCCCAAAACATATTTTTAAAAAGTCCAAATATCCCCAGCACCCCTGTGCAGTACCAGAAAGCAGCCACAATTCTCACACCAGAGGCAAAAAAGAAATGGGGTGTTAGGAAAAGAGCATCTAGGCTGAAAGTAACTGTGACTTTTAACTCCTAAACTGGAAACATTGACAGCTTCTTACTAAACATATCCCAATAGATCACCTGGGATTTAACGTACTCTGCTTCAAGCAACTTGCTCAGCATTTTATCCCAACAATTTTGGTTTGGAGTTATCACTAACTCTTTCCACGAGGATAATCTAATTTTACTAAATTCTCCACTTCTCAGGCATACTGTTCTACACTGCCATGTCCATCCAAGGACTTCATGGAACTCTCCAAAAGAAAGTAAACTTAAAAAAATGGAGTATCTCCGTCTAAACTGTGAGTGCTTACCCTAAGCTTAAAAAACCCAAAATCTAGAAATGGCGAACATTTCTTAAATCATAATGGATTACCTTGGTAATTTGTAAAACATTCTAAGGTAACTAAAAACCAAGTAGTGATACCAAAGTAGGTCTGATAAACTGTTTTGAAATAAATCACCATAGCTACAAAAATACTTACAAGTTAAGTATTAATTTCATAACCACAGTTCAAATTTGTAATAAATTGTATTAAAATATATATAAATCACACTGTTTATTATCACACATAACACCCTCAGGCTTATGTTCAGTTCCTCTTGTAGTAAAGGGTGGCATCTAGTTAGCTGCCTTGATTTTGTTCTGTATATGGTGTATTAACTTTATATGACTCGCGTACCAGAGCAACAAAATCTTTTTGCGTCTTGGAGTTCCACAGTCTTTCTCTGTTTAACAAATACTCAGCCTTTTCATTCTTCCAGCCAATGTGCACAACTTCACATTTTCCCATACTATACTCTGCCTGCCAGATATTTGTTCAGTTACTCAACCAGTCCAAAGATATGCAGGTTAAGTGGATTGGCATTGCTCAGATATGCATAGTATCCAGGGATGTGCAGGCTAGGTGAATTAGCCATGGGACGTGCAGTGTTACAGGGATGGGCTAGGGGGTTGGTTCTGGGTGGGATGCTCTTTGGAGGATCGGTGTGGACCCACTGGGCTGAATGACCTGCTTCCACAATGTATGATTCTGTTTATATCCAGCAGCAATGGGTATCACCCACATAGGCTCATTGGAACCATCCAAATTGGATCCAGGCGCAGAAGGCACTGTTTGGCTGCTGCACTAAGAGCATCTGCATGAATGGATGAGAAATACATGTGTCTGGAAGCCCACTACTAGCATCAGCCACCAACAATGTAGTCCAGCCTCTTAATGTGAAGTTTCCAGCAAAAGGTGGCATCACAATGTAATGAAAGTTCAGGGGATCCACTGTGGCTTGTATTCCATGGTTTATGATAGAGGGGCAATTGCCCTATACTCTGTTTAGAGATGGTAGTCAGAATATAGTCATGATATCCAACAGACATGCAGTACAACACCTTCTTCCACTAGAGCAAGCAAAGGGTACAAGATGTCTCCTCCACATCAGGTTCCTATGCAGATTATGAACAAAGACTATTAATCCAGAGTCCTAAATGATGTTCTGGGGATCCAGGTTCAAATCTTGCCACATCCAATGATGGAATTTGAATTCAATGAGAAAAGGAATTAATTGTCTAATAAGGAGCATGAATTCATTACCAATATTGGAAAAACACGTCTGGTTCACTAATATCATCCTTACCTGCTCTGGCCTAGATATGACTTCAGACCCACAGCAATGTGGTTGATTCTTAACTGTCCTCTTGGGCAGTAAATGCTGGCCTAGCTAGTGACACCCTCATCATGTGAATTAATTTAAAAAATGAAAGGTAGAAATTTAATGCCTAGGTATACAAGGGCCAAATGCTGGAAAATAGGATTAGGAAAGTTAGGCGATTGTTTTTGACTGGTGCAACGTGATGGTTTGGCGGCCTTTTTCCATGCTGTATATCTCTCTGACTATGTGAGAGGAAGGCAAAGGGAACAGAAGATTAGAAAGTATACAGAAAAAGTGTTTTACTATACTTAATGCTATGTACTTCAAATTATCGAGTCTAGTGAATATAGTAATATAGAGCTGATGCTGCAGATAAACATATGCAGAAGATATTATTATAAAAGATATCATCATCATAAAACATGAAATGGATTTTCATCCTGCACCTCTTTAAGCTTTCTTACAGGATTTTCAGATAAGATTAGGTGAAAATAGGAAAAGTAAAAGTGGGGAGGAAGTTACAATATTGAGAATCAGATCTAAGCTCTGTATTCTTGACACATTAGTCTGAATGGTTGTGGACCATTAGACAACTAAGAGGGGGAGAAGGTTGTACAAATTGCCCTATCCTCAATAGTGATGGAGACCAGCACATCAGTGCAAAAGATATTCTTGTCCAACTTCAGCTAGAAGTGCCAAGTAGATGATCCATGTTGACCTGCTGTTGGGATTTCCGGCCTCACAGATGCAAGTCTTCAGCCAATTTGATTCACTCTAAATGATATCAAGAAAAGGCTGTATGTTACAAAGGTTATGTGCCCCCAAATTTGAGAATAGTGATTGAAGAGGTCATTCAAAGTCCTATCAAGCAGCACTTGCTTAGCAGTAACCTGTTCACTGATATTCAGTTTGGGTTTTGCCAGAGCCATGTAGATGTCCTTGACATCAAGGCAACATTTGACCAAATTGGGTACCATGGAGCCCTAGCAAAATTGGAGTTCATGGGATTCTAGGATGGGGGTGGGGTGTGTGGTTTGTAGTGGGGAGTTGCAGTGAGGATTCACCACTAGAATAATGTCTAGCAGAAAGGATGACGGTTGTGGTTGTTAGAGGTCAGTCATCTCAATCCAGGGATGTCACTAAGAGTTCCTCAGTGTAGTGAAGGATATTGAGGAATGAAGACAAACAGAGAAACTTAGCTCACAAATTCCTGAAGGCAGCAGGATGGTAGGGATGGTACTTACAAAGGCATGTAGAATATGTTCCTTTTGTTACAGGAGACATAGAATACAAGAGGAGGGAGGTTATGTTCGTAAAAGGAAAAAACTTCCTATCATAAAGTGACCAGAACTGAATGCAGAACTTTGCTGTGGCCTATCCAGTGTTTTATGCAGACCATGCTTCTAATATACTTAATTGGTTTCCAGACCTTTCCACAACCTCTGAAAATCTGCAAAGGGCTGAAAACCAGTGAATTATTTTGGAAGTGTGGTCTGCATAAAACACTGGTTACACTGCAACAGAGTACTGCATACAGTTCTGATCACTTTATGATAGGAAGAATGTGATCACACATAGTGTGTGTAGAGGAAATTAATGAAGATTCCAGGACTGGAGAATTTTAACTGTAATTGGAGATTGAATTGGCTGAAGAATTGGATTTCTTTGGAACAGAAAAGGCTGGAACAGTCATTTTGTGAACTGCTATTCAAATTACGAGTATAAGATTGCATTGATGAGTTTCCTTTTTTTCAGGTGCTGATTTGAAAGAGCGAGCTAAAATGCAGCCAAGTGAAGTTGGTCCATTTGTTTCCAAAGCAAGAAGTTTAATTAATGAGCTAGGTAAGTAGTGATCTCGATTTAAAATCTAGGAATTATTATAATGAATATAAAATATTTTAAAATATCACTTGCTTATGTTGAGCTTGCACCGATAAAGCAATTGGCCAGAAACAGTAGTCTGCTTTTGCGAAGTCTTTATATGTTATATATCGTGTTTTATTTCGTAATTTGGTATTGTATTGTATTTATGTCGAAAACAAAATACAGTCGATAACGACTGAGTTAAGTACTCTGTACTGGTAAGAATGAGTTTGTGATGAATGATGACCTTTCTTGACTTAATAGTTCTCAATTATGGGAATGCAAAAGCTGATTGTAACAAAATATTTCAGGAACAAGCTATTAAAATGTTGTGTAGATTTGGGTAAAATATGCGCATGCAGTGGAGCCGTTACTGCATTAGTAATTTCCACTTTCCCGAAAGAATGCAGCTTCAAGGACATTCAAGATGCAGGCCACGCTAGGCCACTTCATTGACGCCCCAACTAACAGCTTAACCATTCACTTCTTTACCACTAACAGCATCTACAAGAAGGCATTGACGCAACTTCCCAAGACTTTTTGATAGTCCTTCTCAAACCTGTAACTCTACCACCAGAAAGACAAGAACAGATAGCACATGGGAATTTTTCCATCTTGACTGTGTATACCATTCTGATTTGGAAATGTATTTTTGTTCTTTCATGGTTGTTGCATCAATCCTGGAATAACCTATATATTGCTGTGTAAGTGTTTTCACGACACAGAGCACAGCGGTTCACTGCCACTCTGTCGAGGTCAGCTAGGCATGGGCAATAAATACAGACCAATAATCTTCATGTTCCATGATTTGTTCTTTATATATCTAGAGCTCGGAACTAATAATTTGAAGAATTGAGTTCAGATACCGTGAATCAAACTGCTGCAATGAAATATATCAAGAGTAAAACAGGATGGACTACTCCCCTTCCTTCCATTCAGCAGATGCAGACAAAACAATGGCATATCCTGAGAATCAATATGTTTTAAAAATGGATAATTTTACCTCAAAAGATTAAAGTATAACCAAAATTCAAAGGATGAAAGTTTCTTTTCTGCTGTGAATATTCGGAATGAAGGAGATTGGTACAGGTTTTTTTTTCTTAATCCCTTTCATGGGACACTTGCATCACTGGCGATGTCAGCATTTGTTCTCTGTCCTTAATTGTCCTGGAATTGGGTGATTGGCTGGCTGGTACATGGCAGAAGACAGGTAAGATCATCCAAATGTGTGGATCTTGAGTCACATGTAGGATAATGACATAAGGTTCCATTTACCCAGGGCTTTAGTGAGCCAGTTAATTTTTGCAACAATAGTGATACCAGCCTGGGTGACTATCACCAAGATTGGCTTTTAATTAACATTTTTAAAAAGTCGTTCATGGGATATTTGTTTTGCTGGCTAATCTATTATTTCTTGCTTATCCCTAATTGCCCTTAGGAAGGAAGTGATGAGCTGCCTTCTTGAATTGCTGCAGTCCTTGGGATGTAGATGTACTCATAGCACTGTTAGGAACAGTGTTCCAGGATTTTGGTCCGGCAACAGTGAAAGAGTGACAATATAATTCCAAATTAGGATGGCATGCAGCTTGGAGAGATACTTTAAGGTGGCTGTGTTCCCATGCATCCGTTTTTGTCCTGCTAGATTATGGAATTTCTGGGTTTGGAAAATACTGTCAAAGGTCTTGTAGATGTTACATAATGCTGCCTGTGTGCGAAGGGAGTAAATGTTGAAGACGGTGATAGAGTGCCAATTAAGTGGGCTGCTTTTTCCAGATGATGTTGAACTTGTTGAGTGTTGTTGAAGCTGCATCCATCTAATTAAATGGACAGTATTCCATCATACTCAATATTTATGCCTTGTAGATGATGGATATTCATTGTGGAGAGAGGAACTGAGTTACTTGCTACATAGTTTCAAACCTCTGACTGGCTATTATAAGAACTGTATTTATATGACTGGTCAGAAACCGAACCAGGTGCTGATAGTGGGTGGTTTAACAATGGTAGTTGAGAATTGGTCCAATTCTGTTTTGTTTGAGATGGATTTTGCCTGACACTTGTGTTCCCACTCCTCGGATGTTGTCCAATTGTTGCTGTATATTGGTGTAGAATACTTCAGTATCAGAGGAATCATGAATGATGATTATCAATGATGGAGAGAAGGTCATTGATAGTGCAGCTGATGATAGTTGGGTCTGGGCACTAAGTTGGAACTCCTGCAGTGATGTGGTTAGACTGAAATTATTCATAGAATCATAGGATTCCTCTGGTGTGGAAGCAGGCCACTTGACCTATTGAGTACACATCGCCCCACCAAACAGCATCCCATCTAGGCCCTCCCCCTACCCTGTCCCTGTATTTCCCATGGCTAACCCACCTACCCTGCACGTCCCTGGACACTACTGCAATTTAGCATGGTCAATCCACCTAACTTGCACGTCTTTGGAACGTAGGAGGAAACCAGAGCTCCCAGAGGAAACCCATGCAAGCACAGGAAGAATGTGCAAACTCTACGCAGACAGTTGCCCGAGGGTGGAATTGAACCTGGGTTTCTGGCGCTGTGAGGCAGCAGTGCTAGCCACTGTGCCACCCTGTTGTCATGATCAGGCATTTTTTTAAAGGTTGTGCTGCATCTGTGCCAACACATTACATAACTTGAATTGTCCTGTTTTATCTGTATGATCCTGAGATGAAGTGACAGGCTGGATAATAAAAGGATGTTTCCCCTTTTTGGAGAGGTTAGTACTAAGAGTGCAGTTTTAAAAAACAATTGGTCTGCTATTTAAGTTGGAGATGAGGATGAATGTTTTCTCATTCCTCAGGCAGCAAAATAGAGATGAGGTCGCAATCAGATGAGCCATTAACAGACTCCACACAGACAGTTGTGTGAGGCTGGAACCGAGCCGGAGTCCCTGGCATTGTGAGGCAGTAATGCTAACCACTACACTACACAGCGGTGCTAACCACTAATCCACCGTGCTGCCCGAAACATTGACCTTCAACAACTACATTCATCATCCTTTGTGCTTGCTATGACTCTAATCAGTGGGGAGTTTTCCTCTAATTCCCACTGACCTTGTTTTTCTAGGATTTCATTGATCATTCAAAAGCTGCTTTGATGTCCTGAATGCTTTGGATTTGTCTTCATTTTTGTGGACTGGAAATACCTGGGGAATTTTCAGTATTTCCAGGTAAATACCAGTGTTGCAGCTCTATTGGAAAAGGTTAGGAAGACAGCTAGTTTTGGAGCATGTAATGGGCGGCATGGTGGCTCAATGATTGGCACTGCTGCCTCACAGCGCCAGGGACCCGGGTTCGATTCCTCGGGTGACTGTCTGTGTGAAGTTTTCATGTTCTCCCTGTGTCTGTGTGGGTTTCCTCGAGGTGCTCCGGTTTCCTTCCACCTTCCAAAGATGTGCAGGTTAGGTGGATTGGCCATGCTAAGTTATCCCATAGTGTCCAGGAATGTTTAGGTTATGTGGGTTAGACATGGAAAATGCAGGAATAGGGAAATGGGTCTGGTTGGGATGCACTTCAGAGGGGAAGTGTGGACTTGTTGAGCCAAATGGCCTGTTTCCACACTGTAGGGGCTCTATGACTCTATATCTTCAATACTATTGCCATACCGTTCTCTGGGTTCGTAACCTTTACAGTGTCTGGTGGGAATATGCATCTGATATTGAGTTAACACATTGTTTTTCATTCTGACATTGATACTGGCAAGGCTAACATTTGTTATTCATGCTTAGTTTCCCTTGAGAATGTGGTGGTGAGCCACCTTCTTGAATAACTGTTGTGAATGTGTTCTGTTTATATCCACCATAGGGAAAAACCTTCCAAGATTTTGACCAGTGACAGTGAAGCAATGGCGATATATTTCAGTCAGGCTGGTGTATGCCTTGCACACCTGCAATTTCCCCTCCATTGATTATATTTGTTTTAGATGGTGTAGGTTGCAGATTGGAAGGTGTTGTGTCAGGAGCTTTGGCAAGTTCCTGCGGTGCATTTTACGTAGGGGCCATACTGCTGCTTCTTTGCACCAGCAGCCTAGCTAGTGAATCCTTAAGGTGCTGAATGAGGTGCTGATCAAGCCAGCAGTTTTGACTTGGATAGTAGGTTCTTGAATGTTGTTGGAGCTGTGCTCATCCAAGCAAGGGCAGAGAATTCCATCACACTCCTTACCTGTGCCATGTTGATGGTGGACAGGCAGTGAGTTGCTCACAACAAGATTCCCTGCTTTTGGCCTGTGCTTATAGCTACAGTAAAAATTAACTGATTTTAGGAGCATAGGAACAGGATAAGGCCATTGGACCTGTTCCACCAGATTCAGATTCTATTAAGATTCTTGTCAATGGTAGCCCCAAAGAAGCAGATAGTGAAGCATGTAGTTATCGTAATGTTATTGAAAATCCAGGGAAAATAGTTAAATACTCCCTTGTTGGAGATGGTCGTTGCCTGGCACATTTGTAGTATGAGTGTTAATTGCCATGTTGAACCCAAGCCTGAATGTTGTTGCGGTGTTGCTGAATATGGGAACAGGCTACTTTACCACTGGGGCTACTATCTGAAGAACTGTGAATGGAAAGAAGCATGGTGCGATCATCAGCATTCTCACTTCTGACCTTTTGTTGGAGGCAGGGTCATTCTTAAAAATGTTTAGGTGCAGCAGCAACGTTTGAAATGATTGCCCTTTAGAAGCCATAATCATCAGCTAATTTTTTGATTGTACAGAACTTGAGTATTACTGAAAAAAGACATATCTTGTCAAAGCTTTTTGCCTTGCACTCATTAGAATATTTCAGAAGAATACCAATTTGAGGAGAAAACCAAAGTTAAGCTGGATGAGAGGCAAGTGCTGATTGGTTGGCTTGTGGATTCTGATTGATCCAAGTGTCGCAATGGAGAATGCACTGATTTAATGTTGATTGATAGTTAATAGCCAGTCCTTGTTAAATTTTAAACCAGGCAGATTGACGCTG